CGCCACGCCCCGCCACGCCCCGCCACGCCCCGCCCGGCTACCAGGGCACGCCCGCGGCGCACGCACGCTATCCGAGTGATTTAGGGGCGATGCCCAGCAGACATCCCCGGGAAGGGAGGGCGGCCGGACCAGCCAACACCACCACCACCAACCACCACCAACCACCACCGACCACCACGACCTCCACCGCCACCGCCACCTCCACTCCACCACCACCTCGTCACTACCATCCCGCTCCGCCCCGCCACGCCCCACCATCGCACCGCCACGGGACCGGTCGCGCGCCAACTTGCCCGCTCAGTCGCGTAACTCTCCGCGAGCTCACGGCGGATGGGGGTCGCCGCCGACGTGGACTAAACTCGACTAAACTGAACCCGGGGGGGATCCGAACCCCCGGCCGGCGGTGCGGCGGTGGTGCGGTGCTCCCGGACTCGCACAACTAGACCGCTGACTCGGCGAGCTGGAGCAAGCCCCTCCCCCTCCTCTAGTACTTGCCGCTAACACGGGCCCGTACGTATATAGGGCTCGGACCCTCTGCGCCCTCGAGCGTGTTGTCTTTATGAAGTGACCGGCCGGGAAAAGCAAAACATTTGCCTTTGGAGGACCTCCTGACCTGCTGCTTGGTGATGTAGATGGGCTTGTTGAGGACGATCCAGGTGACGGTCTCCTGGCAGGCCGGCATGGTGGCCGAGCCGTCGTACGTCATGTAGGTCTCGGTGGCCGGCAGCAGCCCCTGCAGCGAGAGCCGCGTCACCTGCGCCGACGACCCTGTAGAGAGAGAAAGGGAGAGAGAGAGAGAGAGAAAAATGTTACTGCATTGCTCACATAATTTAATAGGCGCTCAAATTATTTATGATGTCCGTTTGAAAGTATAGTACGCGCGGAAGGGAAGCGCCGCGCCGGCCGTCAAGAGGAGAATCCTACTAAGGCTGTAAGAAAACTACCCTTCCGTCCGAGAGAGGACCTCGGCGGCGTTTCCGTCCGGCCGGTGCACCAACCATGGCGCCCTCCTCCGCCCTTCTGCGCACACCTTGGCACTAAAATCACTATGTATACAATCACTAAAAAGCTCGTAAACAAGAAGCAGTTTAGCCGGCATGAGAAGGGATGGCTGGAGGGGGGCTGGAGCGGTGGGAGGGGGGCAAGGGGCACCACTGCGGACCCGTGAAATACTACAGGCAATACGGCATGCCCCGGTGCCCCGCCACGCCCCGCCACGCCCCCGAACAAGACAGACTCTCTCCATCTCTCTTGCTCGTCTAACTTCACGGCGCCGTAATGGAAATCAATGTCGCAACTTTTTCACAGCTTTGAAAGAGATCCTGGCCCCCGCGCGCGCGCCGTTTTGCCGCGAATTGTTGCCCAGCACCGATTTCGCGCCGACGGTCGGGGCGGCAGCGCGGTGCTGCGGGGTCCGCTCGCTCGCAGTTTTTTACGAGTCTATAAATCTGTATGGTTTTATCCGCGCGCGTCTGTTCTGTTGCCTGGAGTGGCGAAGAGAGATTCGGTCCGGCCAGCAGAGGGCCTTTGCCGTCACATCGGCGCGCCGAGTTAATATTGCTTGTAAAGTGATTTACACGTTTCCCTGCTTCTTCCTCTTTCCTCCTGCGTCGACCCCCTTCCCCTCTTCTCCCACCTTCCCGGTCCCTCTCTCTCCGCACTACTATACTTATTTGCGGCCAGGTGGGGGAGGTGGTGGGGGTGCACCGCACGGTCGCCACCTCCACTACCAACCACCACCACCACCAACCACCACCTCTACCACCACAGCCACGGCCTTGCTGAAGCAGGACGACAAGCGAACGGAACGCCCTGCTCGCCGAGATAAAGATTTATGGAGGGCGGAGTCTTTTAGGACCGAACCGAAGTATTTAGTATAGGGGGGGCAGTGAAACATACGGGGGAGGAGAGGAGACAGGTGGTGTACCGGCAATGTTGCGCTGCGCTGCCCGCTCGGCCGCAAGCAGCCCATCTACCGCACCTCGCTCTTGCCCCACCCCGCCCCACCCCATCCCGCAGCAGCTTCCATTTGTGGCTGGCTCATTGTAAGCGAGGCTTTGCTGGTGTGCTCGGCCTGACTTAGCCCGGGCTTAGCACGTGGGTCCGCCTAGCCACCTCCTTAACCCCCCCCCCCCCTCTACCCCACCCCTCCAGGAGGAGGGAACCTCGACCGACAACCTCGGACCAGCCACCTCCTGCCTCCTTGTAGTGGTACGCATACACACTCGCGAGCGAGACGGTCGTGGACTTTTGGATTGGAAAGGATTTCGAGTATCTAGGGCGAAATATATACGAAGGACTCACCCCCATGCCGAATTTTCTCAACTTGATCTGTTAGCAGCCGCAACTCTGCATTTGATAAATCGCCAAGCTGTAAAAAAACGACCGATCGAAAGGTTGAGTTATTGGTGGGTTTGAACCAGTATTGGAGTTTTTTTTTCCGTACGGTCACTCACCTGCAGCAATATAGATATGCCGACTATGCCCTGCGCTTTATGCAGCGCCTCCGAATAGTTGGAGTAGAGCTGCGAATTGAAGCCGAAAATTTGAATCTGCAAAAATAACAACATGGTGATATTATAACGCAACGTCGTATCGTTCTAAAAGCCCAAATAAGGGCACTTCTGCAAAAACTGCATTATAATCGATTATGACGATTTATAATGATTAATTTTCTTTCAAGGGCCACAACCGTTAACAAGCAGTTCAGGCAGGGGCTTTCCTTGTTGATCCTGATCCATGTGCGCAGAAAGCGGGGCAGAATAAACAACCGCTTCCTACCTAATTGCCCCCGGACAATCATATCAGCAGCAGGAGCACCGCCCCTTTCTTCTTCTTCTTCTTCTTCTTCTTCTTCTTCTTCTTCTTCTTCTTCTTCTTCTTCTTCTTCTTCTTTTTCTTCTTCTTCTTCTTCTTCTTCAACTTCTTCTTCTTCAACTTCTTCTCCCTCCACCCTTTCTTCTTGGCGATATCGAAAGGGGTTCTGCGGTATCGGCAGCAGCCGCTGACCAGGAGGCCCTTGTGGCTAAATGGAGGGAGAGGGGCGAGTGGGCTGGTAAACAGCAGGGCTCGGCGGGGCCGCCGGAAATGACGCATGAAGTTCGAAGCAGGGGGAACCCGGGGGAAGGGGGTAGTCCATGGGAGGGAAAGGGTCTTGGCGTAGAGAGAAGGGGCCGGCCGGCGAAATAAAGAAATTGCGCGGGACTAGCCGCCGCCGCCGCCGCCGCCGCGCCGAACCCGACCCGCGGGCCAGCCGCAGTCCGCCCCACCGCGCGCCCCGCCGCGCCCCGCTCCGCCACGCCCCGCCACGCCCGCCGCGCGCGGCTTGAGTGTAACGCCTGGAGGGCGCGGCGGGGCGCGGCGGCCGGGTCAAAGCCATCCCATCAGGGTCCGGCCATTGGGGGCCATTCAGGCTACGGGGTGAGGCGGGGCGGGGCGGGGTGGGGTGGTTTGGGGCGGGGCGGGGCACCATCCCCGCCGAGCCCATCCCCCCTACCCCTCTTTGCTAGCCGCTTGCTTGCTTGGACGCCACCGCCGCTGCTCTGACGTTGCCCTTTTTTCTCTACTCGGCAAATCAACAAATTCGGTTAAACCTCCCGCGGGGGTGTGGAGTGGAGGCGGCGGCAGCGGCAGAGAAGCTAGGTCTCTCCCCTTCTCCACACACACATGCACACACACACACATATGCACACACACACGCGCGCACACACACGCGCGCGCACACACACACACACACACACACACACACACACACACACACACACTGCACACACTGATCAGGTGTGCACCACGCTGAGAGGTGGTGGGGGTGGTTGGCGCTCCTTCTCCTTCTCCTCCTCCCCCTGCCCCTCTCCGTGTGTTTGTTATTATTGCTGACCGTAATGAGCTGCTGACACTGCTGACCCACCCGCCGCCAACCACAACTTCCTCCCCCCCAAACAATAAGACCTACCCCCGCCTTTCGCGCACCCCCTCACCTCCCTCATTTCGATTCTATAACGCGTCAACTTGGGCCGTAAAGCGCTGCGCGACAACAGCCTCGCTGCCCACCTTTCCATTCCACTGTTCTTTTTGTTGTTTTTGTTCGCGCCTCGTAAGGCCAGCCGGGGGTGGTTACGGCGACCCCAGGCCGCCTCAAAACGGCCCCGCCGGAGAGGAAAAGTTTTGCCGACTGACCGGCCGTGCCGGCCGCACACCTGTCGCCAATGGGCTCCGCGGCGGGGGCCACGACGAGGGCGCCGGCCAAGAGCGACTCCAAGTGCGGATTTTTCATACTTTGGGCCGGGAGTCTATCCAATGTATTTTCATTCTTCCCGCACAGCGCGGAAACGCGCGCCGCCCCCGCGCCGTTATATCCCACACAAAAAATAAGAGTATTCAAAGATTAAAAATAAAAACAAAAACACAGACATGTCACTCTTGCCCCCGGGGCAGGAGGGGAGGGGGTGGCTCTGTGAGCCCCGCACACGCGGAGGGGGCAGGAGGGGGGGGGGCGGCTGTGGTGGCGGCAGGCGCGGCAGTCACACAGGTCTACCGTAGATATTTATTTGTTTTAATCTGGGGCCCCGGGAGAGAACTTCTTTCAATAACAGCTGGCGCTGGCCCAGCCCGGCGGCGGCCGCCATCGCCGCGCACCCCAGGGGAGGCCCGGGAGTCCCCCGCAACCTCACGCCCCCGCCACCGCTGCCCGCCACTGCCCTCGCCAGCACCCCTCACCGCCACCGCCACCGCCACCGCCAGCCAGGGTAACATTAGATACACTCATCCAGGATCCAGGCAGGCATAGCAATCGCATACTCCTGAGACCATTTTGAAAAAAAAAAAATGGCTCACTTTTATTGCAAACATATGACCCTCGACGAATAGGATATTCAGTGAAAAACAAAAGAGCAAACCCAATGTAAAGTCGGTATGTGAATCGCTTCTCTTGATTTTTGGGCCATTCGTAATACGGTACTATTTCATCTAGTTTAAACTAGATCCAAAGAGAAAGTGCAAAGCTCCCTGAACTGTTTCCTCCCTGACGCCCATTGGCATTGGCTGACGCTGACAAAAGGTCGCGGACCCGCCAGCAGGTACGCGACTGCCCTAGCGACGGGTCCGATACCTTCGTCCGCGTCAGTCAATAAGTAGTATCAGGGAGAAAGCAGTTCAGGAAGCAATCCCGTGCTTCTTTGGATCCGGTTTAAATTAGGTGAAATAAACTACTATCGCAGGGAAGACTTAAGTAACTATGGGACCTGAACTCACGTCAGACCATAACCATAACACGAAAAAAAGTCAAATAACTAGTTCTTCCTTTTCGATCTCCTTTATTTTATTAGAAAGACAATGATACAACATATTGCTAGTGGCCAAGGGGAAGGAAGGAACATATCGCATTGTCGAGGAGCAGTACGGGGTCCATCGGTGGTTCCCCATGCGCGCGCGTCGCCATAGTCCAAGAAGCGAAAGAGCCACCCTCCGTGTCTCCTCAGGTCGCTCCGATGGCCTCGCTCAAACCCACGTCAAAAACAACACTGCGCGAACGGAATCGCAATATTCCTTTCGAACGTGCGAACCTCTTTTCCCAACCCCCCATCTCTCTCTCTCCCTCTCCCTCTCTCTCTCTCTCTCTCTCTCTCTCTCTCTCCTTCTCTCTCTCTTCCTCTCTCTCTTCTTCTCTCTCTTTCTCTCTCTCTCTCTCTCTCTCTCTCCTTCTCTCTCTCTTCCTCTCTCTCTTCTTCTCTCTCTTCCTCTCTCTCTTCCTCTCTCTCTCTCTCCCTCCCTCCCTCAGACACACACTCACTCGCTCGCTCCCGTCCCCTTTCTGCCCTCCTCCCGTTTATTTTCCGACCCTTTTTGCTGCTGGTGGACAGAGACGTTGTTTGTCGGAGGATGGAGGGAGGTAGAAGGGGGCGGGCTAGAATCACGCCGCCAGCGCTGACGGCCTGACGCCGTCGACTGCCAGCTGCGCCGTTTGACGCTCTGTGCGGCGGTGCTCAGTGCTCACCTCGGCGGGGAAAGCGTGGCCGTTGACAGTGTGCTCGGAGCCCATCTCGTCGTGCAGGCCGTAGTGGAGGTGCAGCTCGTGCAGCTGGTAGAGGTAGGACAGCGGGCCGCCAGTCACGTTGACGTGCCGGCGCGTCGTGTTGTCCACCGTGAACACGGCCGAATGTCCCGTGTTGACGAGCACGCCGTTGACCTGAAAGACCGAGGGGTCAACGTTCGCGTAAAATGTACGTGTTTTCTTTTATTTTTTTGTCATTAAATATTTCTACGTCGGTTTTTGTTTTCCACCGTGTACTAACCCGGTGCTTGTCGACGTGCAGCTGTCGGAGGTTGGGGTCGAACAGCAGCTTGTCCGGCTCCAGGTTGACGGGTGACTGCCGCCGCCCGCGGTTGCAGAGGCTCCACTCGGGGTTGATGAGCCCCCAGAAGGCCGGGCCTGTTAACAGAAGGGTGGATAGCATCAGCGCGATAACCCACGGAGTTGCTTCACCTTCCCCCTCCCTTTACTCTTTTCTCACCCTCTCCCCTTGGCCCCATAGTCGTGATGAAAAAAGTAACACAGATCGACCGGATGCGATTTAAATTAGCCATTGCTGGCGGCGGCTTGGATGCAAAACTTTTTTCCTTCTTTTTTTCTTTTGCGCCGTGTTGGGTGATTTTTTTTTTCAAGAGCATAGAACTGTTTTATCGCAGGCGGAGGGCAGGGCGGCGGCCGGGGGGCGGTGGAGTTGAGTGGCGGAGTGACGTCGACCCGGGGAGGGTAGTGCCATGTTGACCCCCGATAGACGGACAGACGGACGGACCGCGACGGACGCGCCTAGAAACGTCTTGGAGGCATGCAACATCCGGTCATCCAGTCACTCCCGAGGGGAGTGGCGTGGCGTGGCGTGGCTGGGCGGGGGGGAGTCCGCGTGCATGTCCCGTACCACTAGAGAGCGCGCGCCCGGCGCCCCTCCACAAGTCCCCCGGACAGGCCCGTCGCGCACCTCTCCGACCGGACCGGACGGGACGGGGGGCGCGCAAAACCTACACTCGGGTGAAAAATTATTGTTCGGTTGTGTTTGCTTTTGTTGTTTGACCGGCACGTTCACAACTCTATTTTTTACACGGGCTTTTGAACTTTCGCGCGCCCAAAATTGATGGTGGGGGTTGTTGTTTCGTTGGCCCGTGAGGAGACGAGAAACACGTGTGTGCCCCCGTTGCGTGTGGCGGGGCGGGGCGTG